ATAGTTCTTCTCGTGAAAAAAAAAAAAAAAACTTTGGGCAACACTTATAAATGCAAAGAAAGTTTAAAAATAATCACCTGAAATCCCACTACCCAGATAAACTCACTGTGATCTTACCTAAGCTTATCTTGGTGGTCAGAGAAGCACCCATCTTGCAGAAAAGGGGTTAAGCTATTCTAGAACCTTAAAAAATATAAGGTTCTAGAATATATAAAATTTATATATTTTATATATAATATATATAATTTTTATATAAAAAAATAAATTTACATCCTCAGTTTTTTAAATATTCAATTTTATGGGCTGGGCATGCTGGCTCATACCTGTAAACCTAGCACTTTGGGAGGCCAAGGCAGGAGGATCACTTGAGCCCAGGGGTTTGAGACCACCACATCACTATAAAAAAAAAAAAAAATTAGCTGGGAGTGGTGTTGCACACCTGTAGTCCCAGCTACTTGGGAGGCTGAGGCAGCAGGATTGCTTGAGCCCAGGAGGTAGAGGCTGCAGTGAGCTGTGATCATACCACTGCACTCTAGCCTGGGTGACAGAGTAAGACCCTGTCCCCCAAAAAAAGAAAAGAAAAAAGAAAGAGAGAGAGAGAGGAGAGAGAAAAAGGAAGAAAGAAAGAGTTAAAGAGGGAGGGAGGAGAAAAGGAAGGAAGGAAAGAAATCAAGCAAGAAAGGAAGGAAGGGAGGGAGGGAAGGAGGGAAAGAAAGGAAGAAAGAGAGAAAAAGAGGGAAAGAGGGAGGGAGAGAGAGAAGGAAGGAAGGAAAGAGAGATAAAAAAAGAAAGGGAGAGAGAAAGAAGGGGAAAGGGGAAGGAAGGAAAGCAAGAAAGAGAGGGGAAAGACAGGAAGGAAGGGAGGAAGGGAGGGAGGGAGGGAGGACGAGAGGGAGGACGGGAGGGAGGGAGGAAGGAAGGGAGGGAGGGAGGAAGGGAGGATGGGAGGGAGGGAGGATGGGAGGGAGGGAGAGAGAAAGGGAGGATGGGAGGGAGAGAGAAAGAGAGGATGGGAGGAAGGGAGGATGGGAGGGAGGGAGGATGGGAGGGAGGGAGAGAGAAAGGGAGGATGGGAGGGAGAGAGAAAGAGAGGATGGGAGGGAGGGAGGATGGGAGGGAGGGAGGGAGGACGGGAGGGAGGGAGGGAGGGAGGGAGGACGGGAGGGAGGAAGGGGAAGGAAATAATTTGGAGGCAAAGTGACTACTTACCCACAGCCATGCAGCTCATCAGGCATTTTGTGATGATCACCTACTATCACAACTCAACAAGGAGCTGAGGAAGGAAGAGGAGAACGAGGGGAGACTGGAACCCCGGGGCCTATTTCCTCAATCTGGCTGTTTGGGGGCAGGGACCAAGCCCTCTGCATGTGTCAAGTCCAAGGGTGTCTGGATGTGAATGCCAAGAACGTCCCCATCTCCACCACCACCCAATGGAGCACTGTGCTTGGGAGTCATTGTTTCCATCCCAAAGATCTGGCTTTCATTCATTCAATAAATATGTCTCCATCATCAGATAGGTGTTTGGCACTTCACATATATGAACTCATTTAATTCTTATAACAACTGGATTTTTTAGGCACCACCATTATAACCATTTTACAGACAAGGAAACTGAGGCACAAAGAGGTCACAGAGCTAGTAAGGAACAAAGCTGGGATTCAGACTCAGGGAATCTGGCTTCAGAGCCCAAGGTTTCGACCACCACATTCTACTCCCTTCCAGTAAAAAGACTGTGTGGGACATATATATATATTTGGTCTCTGTCCCCGATGCCTAGCATGGAGCTCCTAAAACCCTTGTAATCTCCTGAGAGATACGGACGCCAGGTTAGTCTTTTGTCCTAATATCTGGTCTTTGACCCCGCTTCCTGACACAGATCTCCTAAATCTCTTGGAATTTCCTGGGTGATATGAGTATCTTTTGTTCTGAAGAGGCAACTCTTGGTGGGCTCCTGAGTAGAGGCACGGTCACCAGAAAAACCAACCCAGGATTAGAATCTTGGAACTTCCACCCCCATCCCATCCTCTGGGAAAAGGAGAGGGCTGAAGATTGAGTGAATAATTGATCATCGCCAGGCATGGCAGCTCACACCTGTAATCCCAGCACGCCGGGAGACCAACGCAGGTGGATCACTTGAAGTCAGGAGTTCAAGACCAGCCTGGCCAACATAATAAAACCTTGTCTCTACTAAAAGTACAAAAAATTAGCCTGATGTGGTGGCACATGCCTGCAGTCTCAGCTACTTGGGAGGCTGAGGTAGAAGAATCACTTGAACCCATGAGGCAGAAGTTGCAGTGAATCGAGAATGAGCCACTGCACTCCAGCCTGGTGACAGAGCAAGACTCCATCTCAAAAAGAAAACAAAAAAGAAAGTAAACTGTTTTCCTAAGCTCTGCAAGGTATTCTAACAAATTATCAAACCCAGGAAGGGAGTTGTAAGAACTTCCCATTTGTAGCCAAGTGGGATACAAATTGTGGGTACCTGGGAACCGTCTACCTGTGAATGGCATCTGAAGTGGGTGGGTCGTCTAGTGGGACCAAGCCCTATCCACTGAAGTCAGTGCTTACTCCAGCCAGTGTCCAAACTGAACTGAGGTGGAGGACCCCCAGGCGGTGTTTACAGAGAATGAGAAATTGCTTCTGGGGAGAAGAAAAGAAAGAGAGAAAGAGAAGGAAAGAAAGAAAAAGAAAGAAGAAAGAAAAAGAAAGAAAGAAAGGAAAGAAAAAAGAAAGAGAAAGAAGACAGAGAAAGGAAGGAAGGAAGGCAGGAAGGAAGGAAGGAAGGAAGGAAGGAAGGAAGGAAGGAAGGAAGGAAAACCCCCACACGTCTGGTCACAGAGGCACTGTATGTCGAGTGTAAGTACAGGAGGAAAAAACAGAATCTGTTTTTCCAACACGCTAGGCCAAAACCCTCCCCTCATCCTGCTCACATTCTGTAAGGGAAAGGGACAAGAGACAAGAAATGACCTGATTGCTCTCTTAGTCATCGTTGGATAGTGATAAATGCAAGAAAGAAAAATGGAGCCGTGGTCAGGCACGGTGGCTCACCCCTATAATCCTAGCACTTTTGGAGGCCGAGGCAGGCAGATCACTTGAGGCCAGGAGTTCAAGACCAGCCTGGCCAACATGGCGAAACCCCATCTCTACTAAAAATACAAAAATTAGCCAGGTTTGGTGATGCATGACTGTAATCTCAGGTACTCGGGAGGCTGAGGCAGGGAAATCACTTAACCCGGGAGGCAGAGGTTGCAGTGAGCCAAGATCATACCGCTGTACTCCAGCCTGGGTGACAGAGTGAGACTCTGTCTCAAAAATGAAAAAAAGAAGAGAAAGAAAGAAGGAAAAGAAGAAAGAAGGGAGGGAAGAAGGGAGGGAAGAAGGGAGGGAAGAAGGGAGGGAGGGAGAGAGGGAGGAAGGAAGGAGGAAGGAAGTGAAGGAAGGAAGAGAGAGAAAGAAAGAAAAAAGAAAGAAAGAAAAGAAAAGGAAGAAAGATGGATGGCCAGGCAGGGTGGTTCACACCTGTAATCTCAGCATTTTAGTAGGCCAAGGTGGGCAGATCACCTGAGGTCAGGAGTTTGAGACCAGCCTGGCCAACATGGTGAAACCCTGTCTCTACTAAAAATACAAAAATGAGCAGGGCATGGTGGTGCACACCTGTAAATCCAGCTACTTGGGAGGCTGAGGCCAGAGAATCACTTGAACTCGGGAGGCAGAGATTGCAGTGAGCTGAGATCACACCATTGCGCTCCAGCCTGGGTGACAAGAGTGACACTCCATCTCAAAAAAAGAGAAGAAAAATGGAGCCATGTCTCAGATGCTGACTTATTGTATGTCTTTGGGCAAATTGCTTCACCCCTCCAAGCCCATTTGCTCACCAGCAGGAAGGAGGCCATTACTCATCTGCCCGCCCACCCCACCTGCCCAGGCTGTTGGAAGGATAGAAATTACGTAACAGACTCGGGGAACCTCTGTTTTCACTGTTGCACCAATGCCAACCCATGACTCAGGGGAATTTTTTTCAGCCAGGGGATTTAAGCGCTTGATTTCTATAGCAAAACCCACTAAACTTTCTCCAGATACTGTGAGACGATGATTCCATCCATGCACTACTTGCTGAGTTTTTAAAGGCAGGGCATTGTGTGTGCCCACTCACTCTTGGGCGGTGGTAACCTGAGGCCCTCCCCACAGCAAGTACATTTTACTTCTTCCTTCCTTCCCTTCTTCCTTCCCTCCCTCCCTCCCTCCCTCCCTCCCTCCCTCCCTCCCTCCCTCCCTCCTTCCTTCCTTCCTTCCTTCCTTCCTTCCCTCCTTCCCTCCTTCCTTCCTTTTCTTTCTCTCTTTCATATTTTTTTCTTTCTTTTTTTCATCTATTTTGTTTTGAGATAGAGTATGGCTCTGTCGCTCAGGCTGGAGTGCAGTAGCGCAATCTCAGCTCACTGCAACCTCTGCCTCCTGGGTTCAAGCAATTCTCCTGCCTCAGCCTCCCAAGTAGCAGCAATTACAGGTGCCACTACCACGCCTGGCTAATTTTGTATTTTTAGTAGAGATGGAGTTTCACCATGTTGGCCACGCTGGTCTTGAACTCCTGACTTCAGGTGATCCACCCACCTCAGCCTCTCAAAGTGCTGGGATTACAGGCATGAGCCACTGTGTCCAGCCTATTTGTTTATTTCGTTTTGTTTCATTTTATCTTTTAGAGACAGAGTCTCACCCTGTCACCTAGGCTGGAGTGCAGTGGTGTGAAGATGGCTCACTGCAACCTCAACCTCCTGGGCTCAGAAGATCCTCCTGCCTCAGCCTCCCGAGTAGCTGGGCTCACAGACCCACACCACCATACCCAGCTTATTATTTTTTTTATTTTTCTGGAGATGGGTCTTGCTATATTGCCCAGGCTGGAGAAGCAACATTATCTGAGATGGAACTTTCTGGAATGTTAACCATTAAACCTCCCCACCCCCATGAGAAGCTCAAACCACAAGAGACCAAGGGGCAACTCTTACCACACGGGGCCAGGAGATGATGGCTTTGGTTGCTCCAGATCCACCTGCCATTCTTTCCCCATATCCTGGGTCCAGGAGGCTGACCCCCTCAGTACCCGCCTGGGTTCCTGCTTTCTGGTTCTGGTAGGGTTTGGCCGCAGGAGATGCTGGGAGGAGGCAGGTGCGCAAGAGGGGAGAGGTGAATGAGCCCCGGGCCCTGGTAGGTCTCATCAGGCAGCAGTTGCTCCATCCCCCTGGAGTTGCCCCATCCCCCTGGGGGCCAACGCTTCTTCCGCAGCCATAACCAGGGTGCGGGGCCTCCCCTATGGCCTGAGCAGAGGGTGCTCCACTATACCTATTGCCTTTCTTGAACCCTGCCCCACCTCAGTAAATTGTCTCTTCATTAAACCCTATGCAATGAGGCCAGGCACTGTGGCTCACACCTGTAATCCCAGCACTTTGGGAGGTAGAGGCTAGCGGATCACTTGAGCACAGGCGTTTGAGACCAGCCAGGGCAACATAGCAAGATTGACCTTCGGCTCTAAAAATAAAAATAATCACCCTAGCATGGTGGCGCATGCCTATAGTTCCAGCTTCTTATAGGGTTGTGTGAGGCAGGAGGATCGCTTGAGCCCAGGCGACTGAGGCTGCAGTGAGCTATGATCGAACCACTACATTCCAGACTGGGTGACAGAGCAAGACCCTCTCTAATAAATACATAAATAAACAAATGCTATGCAGTGATGCCACTGGAGTATGCTCTTTCCTGCTGAGGACTGGGGCAGAAAGAAAACCTCCTGCCAGGGAATAGCCCTTTCCAAAATCACAGTGGGGCAGGGGCCAGTTCTTCTCACCAGCCTCTGCCCCCATCAGCCAGAGCGTGGCAATCACATGGGAATAAACAAGAAGCACCTCAAGACCCTGGCTTGGGAGGGTGGCCCACGGATGGGCTCCAGGCCTGGCTGCTGGGTGACAGCTCCCACCAGCAGCCTCTCCAGGATCTCTGGACACTGCCCTCAAAGGGCCCAAGAGGGGGTAGAATGTGGATCATCATAGGCTTACACACAATTGAGCTTAAAGACCTACACAGGCCAGGCGCAGTGGCCATGAGGCGGGTGGATCACCTGAGGTCAGGAATTCAAGACCAGCCTGGCCAACATGGCGAAACCCTGTCTCTACTAAAAATACAAAATTTAGCTAAGTGTGGTGGCAGGTGCCTATAATCCCAGCTACTTGGGAGGCTGAGGCAGGAGAACTGCTTGAACCTGAGAAGCGGAAGTTGCAGCGAGCCAAGTTCACGCCACTGCACTCCAGCCTGGCTGACAAGAGCAAGACTCTGTTAATTAAAAAAAAAAAAAAATACAGGTCAGGCACAGTGGCTCACACCTGTAATCCCAGCACTTTGGGAGGCGAGGCGGGCAAATCACCTGAGGTCAGGAGTTTGAGACCAGCTTGCCCAAGATAGCAAAACTCTTCTAAAAACACAAAAATTAGTGGGATGTGGTGGTGGGATCTTGTAATCCCAACTACTCGGGAGGCTGAGGCCAGAAAATTGGTTGAACCCGGGAGGTGGAAGTTGCAGTGAGCCGAGATCATGCCATTGTACTCCAGCCTGAATGACAGAGCAAGACTCTGTCTCCAAAAAAAAAAAAAGACTTATATAACAATACAACACATAATCCTAATATCAAGTAGAGAAAAATGTAAATTTCACCTCAAGTTTAACCTCCCCTGCTTTGCCCAGTGAAGCCTCACTTTTTCTCTTTACAATGCAGACCTCTGCACAAGAATCTGCTGTAGTCCTTAACAGCTCTTTAAAAGTAGTCCTTAAAAGTCTGTTGAAAGCTCTGCTCCTAAAGATATGAAAAACAGACCTGGCCAGGTATGGAGGCTCACACCTGTAATCCCACCACTTTGGGAGGCTGAAATGGGAAGATCGCTTGAGGCCAGGAGTTCAAGATCAGCGTGGGCAACATAGTGTACCTCTGTCTCTACAAAAAAAAAAAAAAAAAATTTAAGTTAGTTGGGTGTGGTGGCATGCATGTAGTCCCAGCTACTTGGCAGGCTGAGGTGGGAGGATTACTTGAGCCTGGGAGTTCAAGGCTGCAGTGAGCTGTGATTGCAGCACTGCACTCCAGCCCGGGCAACAGAACAAGACTCTTGTCTTAAAAATTGAATTTAATTTTAAAATAACAAAAAAATAAAAACAACCATGTCAGGTGGTCAGATATGGTGGAATGGTATCTCAGAAAGCAAAGCTCTGGTCTTTCCATGCCAAGAGACTGACAGGATCCGTGTGTGGAGGCTCTCCAAGCCAAAACCTTATTTCAATTTTGGGGAAAACGAGGCCCAGCATTATCATTCTCCAGTGTGAAATATTTAGGCAGAGTCAGTGCTTGGTAAAGGGTTGATGTCATGGTTGCTACCTTTTTTTTTGAGACAAAGTATCACTTTTTTGCTCAGGGCGAGTGCAGTGGTGTGATCTCAACTCACTGCAACCTCCGCCTCCAGGTTCAAGCAATTCTCGTGCCTCAGCCTCCCGAGTAGCTGGAATTACAGGTATGCGCCACCATAATCAGCTAATTTTTGTATTTTTAGTAGAGACGGGGTTTCACTGTTGGCCAGGCTGGTCTTGAACTCCTGACCTCAGGTGACCCACCTGCCTCAGCCTCCCAAAGTGCTGGGATTACAGGCATGAGCCACTGCACCCGGCCCACGGTTGCTTATTAATATAATTCTTCATTGCTGGATTCCAGTTGCGAGAACACAGTAATACTTTTGTAAATGGATTGCTGTCAGGGTCAGATGATAAAAGGAAGCATTTGAAAAACATCCATATGAACTAAATAAAAGGTTCTCTGGGGTTAAAACAGCTGCTTTTCAAACCTAGAGAGAGTTGAAAAAGAAAATCAGCTTTGTGCTCAGGTAGGTTCCTTTTTCTCTGAAGAATGAATTAGAGGATCAACAACCCAAATATAAAAGCTAAAACCATACAACACTTAGAAGAAAACACAGGGGCAAATTTTCAAGACCTTGAATGTAGCGATAGTTTCTTAAAGATGACACCAGAAGCACAAGCAGCAAGAGAAAAAATAGATAGATTGGATTCAGCAAAATTAACTCTTGTGCATCAAAGAACATTATCAAGGCCAGACACAGTGGCTCACACCTGTAATTCCAGCACTTCAGGAGGCCAAGGCAGGCGGATCACCTGAGGTCAGGAGTTCTAGATCAGCAAGGCTGACATGGTGAAACCCTGTCTCTACTAAAAATACAAAAATTAGCCAGGTATGGTGGCACTTGCCTGTAGTTGTCCCAGCTACTCAGGACACTGAGGCAGGAAAATTACTTGAACCCAGAAGCCAGAGATTTCAGTGAACCAAGATCATGCCACTGCACTCCATCCTGGGTGACAAGAAAAACACTCCATCTAAACTTCATATGGAACCAAAAGAGAGCCCGCATAGCCAAGACAGTCCTAAGCAAAAAGAACAAAGCTGGAGGCATCATGCTACCTGACTTCGAACTATACTATAAGAATACAGTAATTGAAACAGCATGGTACTGGTACCAAAACAGAGATATAGACCAATGGGACAAAACAGAGGCCTCGGAAACAATGCCACACATCTACAACCATCTGATCTCTGACAAACTGGACAAAAACAAGCAATGGGGAAAGGATTCCCTGTTTAATAAATGGTGTTGGGAAAACTGGCTAGCCATATGCAGGAAGCTGAAACTGAACCCCTTCCTTACACCTTATACAAAAATTAACTCCAGATGGATTAAAGATTTAAACATAAAACCTAACACCATAAAAACCCTAGAAGAAAACCTAGGCAACATCATCTAGGACATAGGCATAGGCAAGGACTTCATGATTAAAAGCATGGCACCAAAAGCAATGGCAACAAAAGCCAAAACCAACAAATGAGACCTAATTAAATTTAAGAGCTTCTGCACAGCAAAAGAAACAATCATTAGAGTGAACCAGCCACCAACAGAATGGGAAAAAATTTTTGCAATCTACCCATCTGACAAAGGGCTAATATCCAGAATCTACAAAGAACTAAAGCAGATTTACAAGAAAAAAAAAATCCATTCAAAAGTGGGGAAAAGATATGAACAGACACTTTTCAAAAGAAGACATACATGCGGCCAACAAACATGAAAAAATGCTCATCATGATTGGTCATTAGAGAAATGCAAATCAAAACTACATTGAGATACCATCTCACGCCAGTTAGAATGGCAATCATTAAAAAATCTGGAGACAACAGATGCTGGAGAGGATGTGGAGAAATAGGAACACTTTTATACTATTGGTGGGAATGTAAATTAGTTCAACCATAATGGAAGACAGTGTGGTGATTCCTCAAGGATCTAGAAATAGAAATTCCATTTGACCCAGCAATCCCATTACTGGGTATATACCCAAAGGATTATAAATTGTTCTATTATAAAGACACATGCAGACATATTTTTATTGCGGCACTGTTCACAATAGCAAAGACCTGGAACCAACCCAAATGCCCATTGGATGACAGACTGGACAAAGAAATGTGGCAATATACACCATGGAATACTATGCAGCCATAAAAAATGACCAGTTCATGTCCTTTATAGAGACATGGATGAATCTAGAAACCATCATTCTCAGCAAACTGACACAAGAACAGAAAACCAAACACCACATGTGTTCATTCATAGGCAGGTGATGAACAATGAGAACACTTGGGCACAGGGAAGAGAATAACACTCACTGGGCTGAAGGGTGGGGTGGAGGGGAGGGAAGGGAAGGGACAGTGGGGAGGTGGGGAGGATGGGGATGGATAACACTGGGAGAAATGCCTGATGTAGGCAACAGGGGTGGGGGGGGCGGGGGGATGGAGACAGCAAACTACCATGGCATGTATGTACCTATGCAACAATCATGCAGGATGCAGGATGTGCACATGTACACCAGAGCCCAAAATACAATAAAACAATTAAAAAATAAAAAATTATCAATATCAAGAAAGTGAAAAAGCCTACAAAATGAGAGAAAATATTTACTATTTACAAATCATATATTTCATAAGGGTTTAGTGTCCAAAATATATAAAGAGACTTCCAACTGAACAACAAAGAGGAAAACAACCCAATTTTGAAATGGGGAGCAGCCAGGCCCGGTGGCTCACACCTGTAGTGCCAGCACTTAGGAAAGCAGAGGCAGGAGGATTGCCTGAGCCCAGGAGTTTGAGACCAGTCTGGGGAACAGGGCAAGTCCTCATCTCCACAAAAAATATGAAAATTAAGGAAGTGCTGTGGGGCATGCCAGTAGTCCCAGCTACTTGGGAGTCTAAGATGGGAGGATTACTTGAGCCGGGAAGGTTGAGGTTGCAGTGAGGTATGATCGTGCCACTGCATTCCAGCCTGGGCAACAGAGTGAGATCATGTCTCAAAAAAAAAATAAATAAATAAACAGCAAAAGACCTAAATAGACATTTCTCCAAGGAAGATACACAAGTACCAACAAGCACATGGCAAGGTGCTCAGCGTCATCAGTCATTAGGAAAATGCAAATCAGCATCACAGTGAGATGCCACTCCACGTCTGCTCGGATGACTGTGACTTTTTTTAGTCCAATCAACATGTTTACTAAGCAACTGTGTCCTAAACATTTACAAGTACCATATCCCATTTCTTTTTTTTTTATTTATAACTTTTATTTTAGGTTCAGGGGTTCATGTGCAAATCTGTTATGTAGGTAAATTGCATGTCACCAGGGTTTGGTGTACAGAGTATTTTGCCACCCAGACAATAAGCATAGTACCCCATAAGTAGTATACATGTGTGTGTGTGTGTGTGTGTGTATTTTGAGACAGAGTCTCCCTCTGTTGCCCAGGCTGGAGTGCAGTGGCACAATCTTGGCTCACTGTAACCTCCACCTCCTGGGTTGAAGCTATTCTCCTGTCTCAGCCTCCTAAGTAGCTGTGATTACAGGCATGCGCCACCATGCCCAGCTAATTTTGTATTCTTTTTTTAGTAGAGGTGGGGTTTCACCATGTTGGTCAGGCTAGACTCGAACTCCTGAACTGAAGTGATCCACCCACCTTGGCCTCCCAAAGTGCTGGGATTACAGGAGTAAGCCACAGCGCCTGGCTCTATAGGTACTATTTTTTTGGACCTCACCCTCCTCCCACCCTCCAAGCTCAGGGAGGCCTCAGTATCTATTGTTCTCTTCTTTCTGTCCATGTGGACTCAATGTTTAGCTCCCACATATAAATGAAAACATGCAGTATTGGTTTTTCTGTTCCTGCCTTAGTTTGCTAAGGATAATGGCCTCCAGCTCCACCCATGTTGCTACAAAGGACATGATCTGGCTTTTTTTTTTTTTTTTTTTTGAGACAGAGTCTCGCTCTCTCACCCAGGCTAGAGTACAGCGCCACAGTCTTGGCTCATTGCTACCTCTGCCTCCCAGTTCAAGCGATTCTCTGCCTCAGGCTCCTGAGTGGCTGGGATTACAGGTGTGTGCCACCACGCCCAGCTATTTTATATTTTTAGTAGAGATGGGGTCTCACCATGTTGGCCAGGCTGGTCTCAAACTCATGACCTCAAGTTATCCACCTGCCTCGGCCTCCCAAAATGCTGGGATTCCAGGCATGAGCCACCGTACCCAGCCATAATCTTGCTCATGTTTATGGCTATATAGTATTCCATGGTGTATATGCACCATGTTTTCTTCATCCTGTCTACCGCTGATGGGCGTTTAGGTTGATGACATGAATGACTACAATGTTTACACATGGAAATAATATTTGTTGGTGAGAATGTGGAGAAATTAGAACTCTTGCAGCAATTCCTCAGACAGCTAAATGTAGAATTATCATATGATCTAGAAATTCCACTCTTAGATAAATATGCAAAAGAATTCAAAACAGGCACTCACAAAATATATGTGCACATATGTTCATAGCAGCATTATTCACAATAGCCGAAAGGTGGA